CTCTCACACACACACACACACACACACACACACACACACACACACACACACAAACATACGCAGTCCTGCCCCCCTGCGCGTCAGCGCTCACCGCGCTCGTCCACGCTCCAAGCACAGAATTGAGCAGAGCTCAATTCTTGAGTGCAGACCCCAAGCTCAGTCAGCGCGCGGTTACATAGAGGACCGTACCACACCTGCAACCGCCTCATGGCACTCTCTTGCGCTATTCTCGAGTGTTCTCAAGCGTGGCCACGGAGATGATTGGAAAATCTCACGATTTGCCTGGGCCGCGCTTCAGCCGCACATGGATTTTTCCCGCCACTTGCTAATCCTGCGGAACTCTAATCATGACCGGAACGTGGTTAGCGGAACTCAAGTGTGCGGTGGAACAGTGTTGGGCAAGAAAGACTTGAGTTTGAGTGGTGTGGAACGACGCCCTATTATCCCATCCTTACCTTCCACATATGCCCCATTTTTCCCTTCAAGTTCTGCCCCCCGCTTGCACTCCAGTCCTATAATTACCCCGTATATTGGACCTGTCATACCAGGTCCTCCTGTTCCTCTGAAACCGGCTGGCGAGTAATGTGGCTTGCTTGACTGTGCCTCAACTGGGGCTGGGCGGGGCTTTCGAGGCTTCGAGCTTGGCCCTGCCTAGCCTCAGTGCCTAATACTACTGTCTGGTCCAAGTCGCCCTCCGAAATAGCATAGTGACAGTCCTGAGTAGACAATACTCAGGCTGAGGCGGGATAGTAGGGATAGGGGTGCTCTAGGAGAATTGTCGAGAGGATGGATAGGGAGGTGGTCTTACGGAGAATAAGGGAGTGTCAGGACAGCCAATAGCTGTGGCAGTAACCCTGTATGTCCGGAGTCCAGCTCCTACAGCAACTTGGACTGTTATGAAAAAAAAAAAATGAAAAAAAAGGACTCCAACGGAGTCTTTCAGGACTGTCACATCACAACCAATACAGAGTAGAGATAGATCAGCACCACCGCTGCAGTAGAGGACACAGCTGCAGTGCGGCGCAAGTTTTGGGGTCAGCCTATGTTACATGACCAGTTGGGCGATGTACATATATAACCGAGGATCCGCAATGCGATAAAAAGGACTGAATGGACAATGCAGTGCTAGTGAAATCTCAACAAGCAGTGTACATCCTGATACATGCAAAAATGGTGGTTTACAGCGCAGTGGAAGACTTAGATACAAGTCCTGACCTGACCGTTACTGACCTCTCTCACATAGTTCAAGACAGCGCAGCAGGAATGCTAGAATACCAATGACTAGCCCAATCAATGTCGCAATACAGACAAAACATACATCATCCCTATCACAAGGTGTGAAGGGGCCTGGCGCTACACACAGGAAGAAGGCGCCAGGTCCAGACATGCACAGACGAAGAGGAGGGGATCAGACGAAGAAGAGGGGGGAGATGGGAATGTCGTTAACACCAAGTCTTTGGTACAAGTCCCAGATAATCCCTCGTCAAATGTCTGAAGTCCAATGTCGAGTCTGGATCCAAATGTCACCAAACTCTCTCTCTCTCTCTCTCTCTCTCTCTCTCTCTCTCTCTCTCTCTCTCTCTCT